TACTATGCAGTCAGTATCCCGAAAAAAAAACGTATGGATGCAAAACGCTTCAGTAGTGGTTTCGGCTGACTACTAATACGTGCACTTTGTCTCAAAATATCCCGGCAGCGTTAAAGTTGAAGTCAGGATCTTGGGAGGAGGGGTCTTCTTTTTCTGTGTTCTTTATTTTTTTTAGCTATATTTCTACAAACTTACACTTTTTGATCATTACTCTCTTTCCTCATATTTTAGCATTTCATTATTCTTTAATCTTTATTGTTTGCCCGTTATTCTCTATTCTGTTAACCCCATCCATACCCTCTTATGTGGACTTAAGCTGTCGGTAGTTTATTTTATCCTATTTCTGTCTATGTGAATGTAAATACTTTATTTATCACAAAACAAAAACTTACTAAATATTTTTTTATGAAGTCCTCACCAGTTGCGGATCCAAAAAATGTCATAAGGAGGCACTAACTGTCATGCATAAAGAGGGGCCCGCTTCAGTGATTCTCTAAATAATCAACCAATTTTTTCCAAAAAAGGGACGGGCCCCCATGTCCTCACCTTAATCCACCTCTACCCCTTCCCACTTCGTATCATTGAATTCAGATTCAAGATCTCTCTGATTAAAGTAAGTAAGTAAGTCACATTTGCTTATATCAGGTTTTTGAATTGAACTGGCGGATAGTTGTTTCATTACCAATCATACCACATCTCCTTATTTTTTATATATATACGAAAGCTTTATTCATAGGTATTTTTAGGTGTATTGATGAATGTGTAAAGATGCAGCAATTGTGTAGATACATTTTAACATACAGCACAAGAGATACAGATTATATAAAACTTATAAGTCGAAAACATACTGACAACGCCATGGCAAAAACTTAAAAACGACCAAATGACGTACAACAGTCTATATTATAAAACTTAACTATAGCATACAAAACGCAAACATTTAAAACTCATAAGAAGCACCCAGACAGTCAAATAGAAATTTAATGAATAAATAATTTGTAAAGATTTTCAACTAGGCCTACAGCTATATTTTCTTATCATCTAACAGTAAACATAGGTTCTGGTACTATGTGATAAGTCATTTTTTCATGCAGACCCAGTTTCATTGATACCTTGAACTTAAAGTGGTTTTATGCATATCAGCCCAGATTGTGTGTGTAATTTTATTAAACAATTCAACAATACACGTTCTAAACAGGTTAAATTCAATTTACAAATTTACAAATTCAGATCTACTGGCATTCAACACCCAATTACTTACTTGCTGTATATTGTCAATCCCTCAACATCGTGAATACGCCATGCGAGGTGTTGGCTATGTTTGATACAGGGTGGCGGTTCGAAGCGTAGAAAAAAATCCAGGTAAATGAAAGTGTAAAATTTTGTTGTTGAAAATTTTAAGTACTAAATTCCTAAATGTGTACTTTACTCCGTTCTACGGGTAACATGGTTGTTTGATATATAAATAGGATAAAAAGCATCCGGAAAAATTCTCACATTATAAGTATTCGTAAATGGATACGAAAAAACTTAACAAGGAATAAGTATCGGTAAACGGACAGAAAGTCGCAGTACAAAAGTTTAAATTAATTATTTTACAATTGTTTAAATATATGAGAGAAAGTTCTTGACGAATTGACTTTATTTATAGATGGTATTTAGTTGAGGAAATGATTAATTCGCTTTCAAATAGTTTTTTTTTTTATCATTAACTTATAAAAAGGAGACATTTTGACAGCATGAAGCCAGTTAATTACCAAACCACTTTGGCAGATTGTTTTCTTAACAATCATTGTTCAATATTAATATTCAAAAATAAATTTTGTTTACAAGTCCGTTTCCTTTTAAAAATGTTTCAGAAAAATACTGAAACGTTTTTAAAATTAAGTTTATTCAAAGAAAAAAATATCCCGAAACTAAATCGTGACTCAAAATTTCCTAATGAAATTGTTAGATTCCAAATATTTAGGAGAAGATTGTATTTGTACTTTATGTAATGGTGGTGATATTGGAGACGCGATTCATTATATTATAGCAAGGATTTGTACAAATCCTTGATTGTAGAATGTTCGGCAATAGACGAAAGTAGACAAACCCTATTTAAACGGGGTTTTGATCTCCAAGGACCCCACATTTTACATCGAATAAGATCTATATTTTTTAAAGTTTTCAAATGAAAAAACTTGAATTGAAAATTTCCCGATTATGTGAAGATTTCTTATATTTCTAAATGGCTTCAATTATTACATACAAAACGAAAAAAATAACTTTTTTTTGTAAAAACAATATTCATGTATTATTATAATTTTTCCAAGGAAACGCTTTCTTTTTTTTTTTTTTAGCAAAGTTTACTTGTATGTGTTTATAACTATCACCAATCAGTCCTAATTATTAAAGATCAAACGACCTAATCAAAATGATGATTGGTATTGAATATGATCATCGGTTATGCATGACGTATCCCAAATAACTTCTTTAATGTTGGTTTGATTTTATCAAAACCAAAATTATAAGACCAATAAACAGCATGCGCCATGAGCGCATGATACGCCCGTCGTCTTGTGTGTGAATTTTTATGCAATAAGCATAAATAGTTTCTGACATACGGCGTGACATGCGAAAACCCCCCTTTTTTTTTACAAAAAACTCAATATCTCTAAAATAAAACAACGCTCACTAAAACCAGAAGTCCATTACTAGACGTAAAACATATATACATGTCCTGAGTGACTTTTTATGTCCTGTCTGCACTCAGGAGATCCTGAGTGGTTTTTAGACGTACCGTTAATTTATAGGCATATATTTGAAGCTGTTCTTAATTATGTACATTATCTATAGGTATACATGTATCAGACAAAAAACTTTCCAAAGAACTTAGTTCTAGTTATCTTAGGTCCTAGTCACAGGCACTTGTCTCAGAAAAAAAATTTCCTATATACTTTTAATGTTATATTAAGGTATATAGAAAACAAAATTCTGAGACAAGTGCCTGTGGTCCTAGTGTGAAATAAATCCACTGGGAATTGGCCTTTTTAAACACAACTATATACACGTTTTCTCAAGGGTTTGTACATGTAAAGTGAAATTATGTTTACTAAATGCGTAGTTACATAAGTTTATTTGCTACTTTTTTCTTCTTTATTTTATATATAAATGATTTTTTTTTTGAATTTTAACATTTTTTTCTACGAAAAATTTGTAGTGTTGCAATAGGGAATGGACACAGATACTTAACTACATTTAACGAAAGAAATTTTGTGTAATGTCATCAATCTGTATTACACATAGACAGGATGTTCTCTAGATAACTATGGTATTTCTAATACGTTATACACACCCCAGGGTACACGCACTGTCGTAATGGAAAATTACTGCATGCTTTAATTACCTGTAATCAACCATGTAACAAATCAGTTGACTGACCATGTCATTACAGTTTAAAAAGTTTTTCCTCAGATCAAAACGGAATTTTCATTTTAACTTTAAAATTTAAAACTTTAAAAGTATACTTTGACATAATTATGAAGTAAAAGAATTTAACAATTGACTAATCGGATTTTTCCAAAGATTAAGATACAATTATATTTATTATTCTGGGACTGACAGATATATCACAGGCACTTGTCTCAGAATTTTATTTCCTATATACCTTTATTAAAGTATATAGGATTTTTTTTCTGAGACAAGTGCCTGTGAGACATATACATGCATAAGTCCCAGACATATATAATTGTAAATCAAAATGATTTACCTAATAACTGGGAAATAATATAATGTTTCAGTTATGTTGATGTCACAAATACACATGAATTATTTGATGATGCATGCTGGAATTTCTTATCTAAATGCATGACGGTGCCCATAGACATATATTTATATATATATACATTTACTGATTCTATAATTTCTTGAGAAAAAAAAATCAGGAGGGAAGTCAGAGGGAAGTGAAACAAACATTTTAAGCTTTTATTAAAAATTGTTGGGAAGACAATAAAATACGACACTGAGTTTTGAAAAAAAAGTTTATGATTGGTCTTGGTTTTTTTTAATAAAGATGCCCCCTTTTTAGCCACACCGACGAATGGAGAATTCCAAATAGGGTCACAAGGTCACATTTTAAAACTTTTTCAGTCGCCCAGTCTCAGAAAGCAATTTTGACTGGCATTTTTTTTAGTCGAATTATATTTTTGCAGGTCAGGTTGCAAAGTGGCAGGTCGGATTTGACTATGTTGACAACGGTCCTAAAAAATATCCGAAAAAACGTTGAATCAAACGATATGAACCTACGCAGTTTTATATTATAAGACTGACATACACCAGTGTGCTAACTGTGCTGGGTGAGGTGCTGTAACTTGATATACATGTATCATTAAGTTACAGTACTGTTAGGATTTGCCTGCCTATTTGGCTGTTAGTATAGACTGTCCCTGGCTTGAAAGTATTGTTCTCTGCTCAGCAACGGGTGCGTGATTAGCAAATCAAATATCTTGTAGCAGTAAAATACCTCTGGGGGGCGGGGGGGGGGGGGGGAGGTGCACTTCAATATTTAATTGATAGGGGGTGTCGCTGGGGTTCTGTTACCCCACCCTTTTCATATAATTTAGATCTTAAAAATGTATACCTTTTCATATATTGCGTGGGTAAAATTGTAACCTTTTCCCATATTGATTGGGTTTCGTGGGGTGTGTTGGTAAAGTGGAATATTTAAGGCTAAGATTCTGTGTGTAATGTTTACTTACGGCGAGACTTTCTGCTGTGAAAAAATGACAGGCCTTTTCATATACAAGTAATTGGAACTTTATCGACCTTATCATATATTTCTGATAGTTTTCCCCTGCACCTATTCCCATATTTTCAAGCATGAAAAAGTGACCTATTCCAGCGGCACGTCCTATCATCTTGTATATAGGAAGTGCCCCCCCCCGAGTAAAATACACAAATGTCAAATACCTTACTTCAGGAGCACAGTCTCTCTTTACCGTAAATAACTTCCCCCCGTCACTATTTATATTCACTCAAAGAAAGGGGTTCTCCGTTACTGGGAAAATCTTATCTGATTCAGGATCAATTTATCGGTTACACTCCCCTATCACCAGTGATTCTTTGTTGTAAGCTGACATTCTGAAAAAAGGTATACTGTTGACTATCAATTTGCACGATTAGTTACAGATGTCGACTCGGACTACTGCAAAAGACAATAATTCAGTTCACTGATTTAGATTGAATAGTGGTTCGGTTAATCCCCTCTTCCCCAAACAAGTAAGAATTAGGTTACATCTTTTGGTAGTCCAAATAATTATGACGTCTTGCAAGGCTATTTTAATTTTTTTTTCTATCTATCTATCTTCATATTTCCGCACTCAGTCACAACTTTGACTATTACGTGCCCAGAAAAAAGTAAAAAATAGCCTTGCAAGACGTCATAATTATTTGGACTAATCTTTTGGCAAATATGGTCGTACCACAGGGGTTTGTTACAATTTACCGGGTTTTCTATCCTTACGAATCCTGAAAAACTAACCAGGCCAGGTGATAAAAAATCTGTCTCCCCTTTTTATCCCACCAGAATATCAAAAGGTTGTCTCCTTACACCTACATGACAAAAATATATACAAATATGGTATCATTGCCAATGTGACGGCTCTTCAACAGAAACTAAAGACATAGAAGTTAAAACTATAAAGGTCACCGTACAGATTTCAACAATGGGCTAAAAAGGCAAACTGCTTAATAAGCTACAAAAGGCCAAAATAGATAGACAATATCTGACAAGGGTAGAAATGTCCAGAATGTTGAAAAAAAATCTACTGTCCATTTTAGATCTTGGGTAAACTCCTTATATTATACTGCCTGGTCTGGTGGTAGCATTTTCACCTCAAGTGCAGAAGGTTGTTTATTTTGAACCCAACCGGGTAAAACTAAAGACTTTAAAGTTGGTATTTGCTGCTTCTCCCTTAAGCACGCTGTATTATTAAGGTGTAAGAGCAAATACTGGTTTGTTCAGAGTCAGAATAATGTGTCAAGGTAAGGTGACATGTCTCTCAGAGAACTAGTGTAAGAGATAAATTAGTCCTGGTAAAAATAATGAAAATTGTCTGGTCAGACAAATATAACTAGTATTAAAAGTCCATGGATACAGAATTTACTAGTATATTTAGTCCGATGTCAGTAATTTATGTCCCCAGACTAATTTTCCTAGTCCATGACATCACTATTCCGAGGTAAAAATGTCCAGTTTTTCTAATACTGTATGCATCATGTCAAGTATATTTGGTGTATGAAAATTTTTAAGGATGTATGTTTGTCTGGCATGTTTTATTCAACCTTGACCTCATTTTTATGGTTCATTGCTCAATGTTATTTTTTTTGTTTGTTTTTTTGTCACTTTTTCTATTTCCTTATTTTCAAATTAGCATAGGTCAACTATTTTTGGTGTATGGAATGATTGTAAGGTGCATATGTCTGACTGAGAAGTTTCATCTTACCTTGACTTTATTTTCATAGTACATTGGACAATGTTTAGTTTTTGTGGTTTGATCTATTTTTCGGATACTGTTAGCAATAAGGCCCCTATATTTGGTGAATGGAATGATTGTAAGATGCACATGTCTGTCTGGCATGTTTTATATGACCTTGACCTCATTTTCATGGTTCATTGGTCAATGAAAAGTTTGCATTGTTTTGTCAGTTTATCATATGCTTTAAGCAACAGGTAAATTATATTTGGTGGATGTAACAATTGTAAGGTATGCATGTCTGTCTGGCAGATTCATATAACCATGACCGCATTTTATGGTTCTTTGGTCAATGCTAAGTTTTCTTGGTTTTTTCATTTTAACAGATATTATAAGCATATGTCTACTTGTTGGTTTATGGAATGACTGCAAGGTGTCATATAAAAATAACAAGATGTCTGTCTGCCAAGGTTAATATTGCTGTGACCTCATTTTCATAGAATATTGATAATATTAAACAGCAAAAATGAATAGCAAGACAAGATATAAAAATATCCAAAATTGTCAGTTGCCTACTAGTACTAATTATGTGATAGTAGTTATTGTCATTAAATGATAATGTTTACCCTTTTATGTGTAGGGCAAGGACATTAAAGATAAAGGGAAACTATAAACAAAAGAAATTATCAACAAAAATAGATTTACAGACGTCAACAAAGCCTAAATGGTAAGTCCACTTCTATAAAAGTTATTGCCCTTGAATAATGATTATTATGAAAATAAGATGTGGTATGATAAATAAGAAAACTATCCACCAGAGTTCAATTAAGTGGATGTAAGCAATGCAATTACTTATTAGAGGCCAATGATGACCTGTAAATAATGAGAAAACCCATACCCTATACATGATATAGTCATCTATAAAAGACACCACAAACAAAATTTGGAACAAAACATCAATTCAAACTTCAAATATACCAGACTAATTTATAAAAAAAAAACAAGTTATGAAAAAACAAATATGACGGACTTGAACCAACATCAACCACTGAACTATGTACAGGCTCCTGATTTTGGACAGGCAAAATATGGCAGGGTTGATATAAAGATAAGAAGCGGTATGATTGCCAATGAGACTTTTCTCCAATAGAGATCAAATGACATTAAATTTAACAAAATTAGTTCACTGTACAGCCTTCAACAATGAGCAAACCCTATACTGCATAGTAATCTATAAAAGGGCATGAAATAACAAATGTAAAACAATTTAAAAAGGGCATGGTGTCTATCCATGCTAAACATGCTTGGGGAAAACACCACAAAGGCGAAAGCTAAGTGCCTGATTTTTGCACAAAACAAAAAATAAAAAACAAATATGATATATAGCAACAATTGACAACCACTGAATAACAGGCCCCTGACTTGGGACAGCCACTTACAAAATGTGGCATGGTTTAACATGTTTGCTGGCGCCAAATCCTCCTCTAATTAAGGACAGTGGTGTAAGTGTCAGTTCATTTAAATATAAAAACTATAAAATCAGTTGAAAAGGGCTATTTTCTGCTCTTTGGTCAGGTTATTTTGATACATTCCCGTTTTCATTTTCAATTTTATTAACTCATTAGAATGCAACAAAGCAGAAAAACAGCTACCAAAAACACAGACCGGATGTGGCTGGAAATTTATTCTTTCCCTTTAACAAAAAAGACTCAACATACAGATCTATTAGTACTGACAGTTACTGACAGCTAATTCAAAGCAAATATCAACTAATAAAATAAACATTTTGTGAGCACCCAACCCACCCCTAACCTGGGACAGTGGTTTTAATAACAGCACAACATTTGAACAAACTGTAAACATTTGTTGCAATTGGCTTAACTCAAAAGACTGCAACAAGGCACAAAAAACAACTAATATGAAAACCATAGACACAAAGCACTGAAATAAGAGTTCTTACAATTTTAAATATTCAAATGAAAGTTTTATCAAAATGTACATAAACATGATAAAATAGCCATTTTATTGCTGTATTTCTCTTCATTTATAATTTTTGAGTTTTGTGTATTTGTAGGTCAGACATCTTGGTTTTCATGATCATCATTCAACAAGTCAATACTGAACAGAAAACTTAAAGTTGATATTTTTCTACATAGTGTGACTTTTTTATTAATTTGAAATGGAATGTGTTTTTTTCCTACATAAGAAAGAGGAAATTTCATCATAATGACTATAAACAAAAAGGCGTCATATCATCATGATCATAGATGCACAAGAACTTAATCATGTAAATGCAACAACGTAATTATCAATTGAAAGAAGGGAGGAATGAAAAAATATATTAGTATTTTGTTGTCCAAATGAACTTGCTTTGTCCACTCATTTAAATCGCTCCATCCAATAAAGATGTACGGTGGAAGATTTTTGAAGAACAGATTGCAAAAGAGGTTTTGTCTTAGAATTGTAGGAATATTCTAGTGGATGAAATAATTTATTTACTTCACTCTTATATAGTGGACTGAATAATTGTACATAGCAAGCTGAAACAAGAAAAACTAAAACTTAACAGGAAAAGTGTTTATTTTATAAATTTGCAAATATAAACGTAATATTATGAACACCACAAAGGTATAAGATTCAAATCGTTTGCATATTCATGTATTGAAATGGAACTATAACAAAGAAAACTTTAACTCATGAAAAGAGTAAACTATTTACTGTGCTTTGTCAATTTATTCAGTCAGAATATGAAATATTTTTTTCAGTTCTATTTTTCATAATAAAACAAACAAGACAAAGATTTCAAATCAATATTTTTTTCTTTTATTAAGACATGTCATCATTTTATTTCAGTTAAAGGATTTTATTTTTTGACTTTAAATAGTATTATACTTTCCAAAATAATAATAATCTTTATTGTCATATAAACAAATTAAAAACATGTTTGTGACAAAATGAAAAAAACCAAAATACACTCATACATGTCATATATATATTATAAACTTTTTACTACCAAACAGAATTCATTGTAACATACACATTACTGTATATTTATAATTTGAATTCCATAGGATTTTATTTTGTCCCATGGGATATTAAAAATCCCATGGGATAATTATAGTCCCATGGGATTTTTTTTGTCCCATGGGACAACAAATATCCCATGGGACTACAATTATCCCATGGGACCCAAAAAAATCCTATGGGATTTAACCAAAATCCCATGGGATAATGGTCAATCCCATGGGATTTGCCGTATCCCATGGGATATTGAAAATCCCATGTTTTTCTAAATCAAATTACAGAATATGTATAATAATAACAGTAGAAAAGCAATGAAATTATTGAATCCTATGTAATTCCGCACATTTTGGTTATATACACGACATTGTAGGTCTAAGGAGAGGCGGCGGCGGATTTGCAAATGAGTGTTTTGCAAATTAAAAGTGTCCAGTGTTTTTAGCTAGCTGTAAAACTAGGTATAATCAACTATTTACGCCGGAAAATGCATGTACCGAGTCAGGAATATTGCAGATGTTTTTCATTCGTTCCGTTGGTTGATATAGTGTAACGTTTGATTTTGTCAGGTTTAATGAACCACCACCACCACCCTTTCGGTATTTTTGTATATAATTTTGCTTTTACACTAGGGTCATTTTTCTGACAAATCAATACTATTAATATCTGACAAGTTAGCACACTTACAATGTATCTGGCATGTCGACTTAAATGTCTGACATATTGACGTAAGTAATTATAAATGTCAAAAACTTAAGACGACTCAAATTTGACATATTCAGGCAA